TAAATACGATTTTTGTTTGTATTCATAAAAAAGGTTATGGATCATTTTGTGAATTCTAGAGCAAAATTACAACTTCAAATATTTATGATAAAAGACAAAATACAGAAGTAATAGATATTTGAATTCCATGAAAACCGTATGGAGAGGAGAAAAATTTTCTGTATGTGGTAGAAGTCATGAAGTTATTAAATGGCCAGTTCATCTTGAAAACAAATAAAAAACTATTTTTAAAGTAAATAAGTTAGAAAAATCCATAAATTACTGAAAAAATCCTTTTACAGTTTTGTTTGTATTCAATAAAGATAACAATTTCATAAAACGTATTTATTGCATAAATATTTTATGTTATTGCGTTTTTGATAACGAAAAAATAAAAATACGACAATAAGAAAAAAATTATGACCATAAGTCAATATAAGTTTTTTCTCTAAAAAACAAAGAACATTTATTTAACTAATAGAAAAAACTAGTTTTTTGAGTTTGAAAAATTTTATAACACATGAAAAATTTTTACAAAAACATTTCAAGGCTAGCGTTAAGGTTCAATAGATAACAATTCTTCAAGTAATAAAATAATTAAGGAAGCAATAACTGTTATAAAACTATTCAATCATGAAAATTTTTGGCGTAGTTTTTACTTTTCATAATATTTCCAGTGATACAATTTGAAATTAATATAAAAATTACATCTCACAAAAAGTTTCGAGTAATATGGAAATTAATGCACTTGTTTAAGCATGATCTTTGAATTGCAAAACAAGACATCAACATTTTAAACCTCACTCATTTTAAAAATTTAATTGATGATTACACATTAAATTAATTTATGGTCCAGCTGGTGAGCCTGAAATATTTCCTTATACAACTTGTAGTTGATGATTTTATTCAAACCTAAAAAAAGTTTTTTCCTTAACATGGACGTTCAAATTACTATTCGAGTTATAAAAGAATGAAAATATACCCTTGAAACTAAAAATATGACAATTTCAATTTAAACAAATAATCTTCATTCAACTTATTCTAATTTTTTAAATTATTGTAAAAAATAGAAAGTGAAAATAGAAAATTGTATTTCGTCAGAAAAAGATTTTTTTCAAATACTTAACCATCATTCAAACTTAAATTTAAATAGAGCAATTTTTACAATACATAATAAATATGCAAATTTATGGAATACAAAAATTTTGTATTTTATCTAAGGAGGAACTAACACTAATTATAGTGAAGATAGAGTAACCTGTAAAAGTGTTGTTAATATTGATATCGCTATTTATATGTAATGAAAATAACCGTTTTATAACTATTCAACATTTGGTACATTTATAATTTTACATCTGAAAAATGTATTATTGGTTTTAAAAAAGTTATAACTTTGAATATACCGCAAGTTAAAATTCTATATTTAATGACTTGATAAAAACGTTTTTTTCCAAGAATGATTAGAAAGTCAAAGTTTCGTTAATATCTTAATAGATATACCTAATCTATTATTGATACTTGTTGTTTCGAAAATTTCGTGATTCTACTTATCTTCAGTTTATCATAAATCACCTATTATACTTGGAAATTGTTTTTGTCAAATTGTTAACTAGAGAATTCCATATTAAATTTTATTTGAAATTCCAAATTATCTTCAAAAACTATCCTTCTCTTTCACTGTGTAATAAGTTTAACATGTTATACGATTTTGTAATCTAATTTGTTTGATTCAACTAGATGTTAATTTAATAAAATATTAAAAAATCGCCGAAAAAATGCCACGAGCCAGGTTTGACATTGTAATAGCCAGCAAAAGTAAAAAATCGCAATTTTGGCGATAAACTGGCATTTGACCACATACGAAAATAAGTAATGTACATAAATAAACATATGACAGCTTGAAAAAAGATGTATAGATTTATAAATAAAAATTTAACGTGACAGTTTATCTCGGACGGAATTTAGTTTATGGAAGGTGTGAATCAGGCCCTTGTTCTTGTTCTGAGCGGTACAAGCTAACCAAAGCAACTCCTATAGTGGGTATACTGTAAATCTCAGTGCATATATAGTTTCTACGCACTTAAATTGTATCATCTTTTAATACACACTTTTATCTACGTAATTTTATGCGTTTTAAGTGTATAACTCAAGATAAAAAGCGTAAAAAAATTTACATACTTAAGTGCATAGATCTGTGCACTTGGGTTTGTAGTTTATATCTATATGTATGGCCTCGGTCATGAATACAAATATGTTGCCTATAGAAGTTATTCGGTTAGCTCGGAGCAAGACTACGTGTTCCGTTTCAAAAGCCAGAGTCCTCCAAACGCACTGGATCTCTAAGCCAAACAAATCTACTGAAGCTAGCATTTGAGTGTTTAAGTGATTTAAATTTTTAATGGCAACATCAATATGCACTCCCTTCATAATTGTAAAGCAACTTGACGATTTCAGACTTGTATATTTATAAAAGAGAATAAAGAAGGTTACACAAGACATTATTGAAATTATTAGATTATTGGAGAATAAATATATTTTTTTACCTTTGACGAAGTGTTGTCATGTGTTCTTCTTTGTGAAGCTTTAGGTAACACAACCTCGTCGTCAGAAGAACTGATAGTAATTACCTCACTCATTTTCGAGAATATTGTATATTCGTTAAACACTCTAGTTGTATCAAATAATAACTGCAGTCAAAATTCAAGTCTTTCTTGACTCCAACGTCAATAGTTCTGGATAAGTCTTAACTTGCACAAATTTAGAAATCGCATTCAAACAGCACTTTTTACAGGTGTAACTGGCTTTTTGGCGTACTGTATACGATAACAAATAACAATAGGTACTACCGATTCTACGCGAAGGATATATAGGTATACACACGTACTATAAAGTCTGACTTTTCTGCACTATGTAGGTACTGTGCTATATACTCAGCATGGCACGAGGCTTTGAGTAGAGAATGAGAATGGCTGCTACCGTATATATATATATATATGTTTCAGCTACCTGACTGGCATGCTATGAGTGGTGGAAGCATTGCATGATACATAAGAGGCGGGAACAACCGCGCAAGCAAAACAAAGAAGAAAACTGCCATTTTAAGTACCTGAGTAAGCGATATATCGCAAGATCGATACTGTCTGGCGGTAAATTCANAGCTATCTGGCTGGCATGTTATGAGTGGTGGAAGCATTGCATGACACATACGAGGCGGGAACAACCACGCAAGCAAAAGAAAGAAGAAAACTGCCATTTAAGTACCTAAGTAAGCGATATATCGCAAGATCGATACTGTCTGGCGGTAATTTCAAATGTCACACACTAATCTGACAACCCTGTACTTTCTATGCAATTCAAACAAGGCCTGTAGTTATATCAGTTGACTTGAATCAACTGGTTACAATTTCAATCAACTCATAATTTTTATCCAAAAAATGCTGACAACTTAGTGTTATAACTTTATAATATCAGTAATCACTAAAAATTACATTTTACCAGAAATAATGACTTTTGAGCTTACCAAACTATTTTATAAGTGTGATCTAATAACAAGATATATAATTTCTATGAGTGATCTATGATCTAATCTGTTAAAAATATAGGGTTATGGGGTTATTGGCACTTGGGGTCAAATATCTCAATAAATATGGAAAAAATCTACGATTTAATCTATTTTGACTTTTGGTAACTGAAAATAATCTTAAATAAAAAAAAAACTGTAAATTATGTTATACTTTTCGTCTTTACAGCCACAAGTATGAAATATCGTGGAGACAATCAACGCAGAGCAGTACCCCCTCTCCATAAGTCTAGAGGCTTTGAAGCACTAGCGCCAAACTCTACGTTAAATTGGATGAGGTGGCAATTTTTGTAAACCTACCTAGACAGGAGGCTTTCTCCCAGTGTTGGAAAAGGAGAATATGATTTTGCATTTTTATCACTAGGACCTGTATATAGCTACAGATCCTAGTGAGAAAAATGCAAAAGCTAAATAGAAGGGGAAGGCCAGTGGTTCTTCCCAAATATGACTGGCAAACTTGTGGGAAATTCCAATTGGCAATTTGGTGCAAGGAGCAAATACCCAGATAACTCGACACACAATAACTTACATGCGCAATAACTTGATAAACTAATTCCAAGCTATTTAACCCAATAACCCAATGGGCCAATAAGCAGCATCATGAGTTTGAATGAATAATGTAATGTCTTAATCAACAAAGCAAGCGCCAATCCCCACATGACACAAGGCAGTTACTGGTTGCTTAAATTATTTATAATTAATAAAATAATACCGCAAGCGCCTATCTCCACACAACCAGGGGCACTTACTAATTGCTTTAATTATTTATGATTAATAAAATAATACAGCAAGCACCTATCCCCACACAACCAGGAGCACTAACTGGTCATTAACTTAAATTACTATAAATAAAATAAAACTGCAAGTGCCTATCCCCACACAACTAGGGGCACTTACTCGTCACTTACTTAAATTACTATAAATACATTATAATAACACAAAAACGCCCATCCCCACACAACCAGGGGCACTTACTTATTGCTTTAATTATTTATGATTAATAAAATAATACGACAAGCGCCTATCCCTACACAACCAGGAGCACTAACTGGTCGTTAACTTAAATTACTATAAATAAAATAATACTGCAAGTGACTATTCCCACACAACTGGGGGAGCTTACTTGTTGCTTTAATTATTTATGATTAATAAAATAATATGACAAGCGCTTATCCCCACACAATCTGAGGAGCTTACTGGTCGCTTACTTAATTATCTATAAATACAATAGTATTGCAAGCGCCTATTCCCACACAACCAGGGGCACTTACTAAATGCTTACTTAAATTACTATAAATGAAATAATAACGCAAGTACCTATCCCCACACAACTAGGGGAGCTTACTAGTTTCTTCAATTATTTATCATTAATAAAATAATACTGCAAGCGCCTATCCCCACACAACTATGAGAGCTTCCTAGTTGCTTTTATTAATTATGACTAATAAAATAATACGACAAGCGCCTATCCCCACACAACCAGGGGCACTTACTGGTCGGTTACTGAAATTACTATAAATAAAATAAAACTGCAAGTGCCTATCCCCACACAACTAGGGGAGCTTACTAGTTTCTTCAATTATCTATGATTAATAAAATAATACCGCAAGCGCCTATCCCCACACAACCATAAGAGCTCCCTAGTTTCTTGAATTATTTATGATTAATAAAATAAAACGACAAGCGCCTATCCTTACACAACCAGGGGCACTTAATATTCGCTTACTGAAATTACTGTAAATAAAATAATACTCCAAGTGCCTATTCCAACACAACTAGGGGAGCTTACTAGTTGCTTTAATTATTTATGATTAATAAAATAATACCGCAAGCGCCTATCAAGCGCTTTACCCCACACGACCCAAGGCA